AGAGGTCAAATAACTCGGCATGACAGCAACATCTGCAGTAAGCAAGTCTAAATTATATTAGCAGGAAAATATATATTATGAAGCTCATTTTGATGAATTTATAGAATTTATTTATACATTCGGTTATATTTCTTTTTTCTTTGTTGTTTTGTGATATTCTTTATTTATTTCTTTTAGATCTAGGAGTATGGGATTAGGTGACAAGGTATGAGATTAGGTGACAATTATTTTCTCCCTCATTTGTCTAATCCAGGTTTGGAGAGAAGAATAACCACATCCTGTCTCAGATTTTTAGCCACAGATTTAGAAGTGTTTTTTTTTTACTTAACACTTAACTTAATAAATTCTATACCATTTATAATAAAAATGTTACACTCTAAATTATCATTAGATTCCCAATGTTTTAACACAAACTCCTAAGCAATATTAAAATCATTAATGATTTGTTTTGTCATGGTTTCAATTTATGAGGAATTAATAATTTTTCATCAGAATGCCTTCCTTTAACAATTATATTTGTGCTATTGCACTTTCTGCAATGAGAACCTGTATTTCAACATTGTTTTTAATACATATGAAAACCCAGAAATCTTTAAAATGCTTAACATGAAGGCAGAATTGAGAAAACATATTCTTGTGGTATTATGCAGACTACAATCTATGAGCATAAGATACAAGGCAAACAATATCTAGCATTAAAAACACATTGATTTATATTGTTCTGTAGTAAACTTTGTGGAGTTTTATGTTCTGACAATCAAAAGTTGATTCAGTGCATATTACGTATTCTAAATGACAGATGTGTGAATTAAGTTTCCAAATGGTTCTTGTTTTAAATGATGTGGTGTAAATAGGTCTACAGTACCAGACACTTTTTATTAACTGCAGTGGATGGTAAACCATGTTTTCCATTGATAAACACAACTGTGACAATGCTTTAGTCAGCTTCCTTACATACAAAATTAGTTTGTCTCATTTTATTTTCTTAGATTGTTATTTTCAGAAGATAGTGACTTTGTTTTACCCTCTTCACTGGATTCAGAATTACACTTTCAGAACTGAAACCCAGGTGGTCCTCAACATAAAATATAAATAACTGAATAACATAACTGTAACATAAAGTCTTCTTTAAATAAACATCATTAGCATTCACAACTGTTTCTATTCACAACTAAAGATTTAATTTCAGACAGATACAGTACTTGCATACATTCATGCATGAAGTAGTTATGGTATTTTCCCTCCCTGAATAATTCTGCTGTTTTCTGCTACTGTTGCTTTTTGTCTTCAAAAGTAAGAAGACACTCATTTTTTACTATTATTCTGAATGTAAAAAATAATACATTTTATTTTAAAAGCAAAGTATTAAATATCTTGAAGTGAAATCAAAGAGAAAAAATGGAAACAAGTTTTGACAAACTGGCCAATAACAATAACAATAAAACAATGAAAACTCTAAATGAAAGTCTATAGGGAAAGATAAATAAACACGTTTTAAATAAGTCCAAATTCAGAGTTTCTAATGCATGAGTGTTTAGATCTGGCCTCGATTCATCTCAATTCAGTTAGCCTTCTAGGTCACCTATTTTTATAGATTCACAACACCTGAAAGTTATTGATCAATCAAGCCAGTAATACTGTATGTTCAATTAAGAGAGCCGTGGTCCTTGATGGCTAAAAGTTCTTAGATTTTCCTTTCTAAATGATCTCTAAATTACTTAATTTAACAAATCACCTATTTAACTGGTCACATTGCAATTGTTCCATATTGTAACGCAACGGGGGCTCAGGCGGGCGCCCTTGCCGCATCTGGTCGGCCCCATCCCGACTGGAGGCTCGAACCCGGGACTTCCGTGTCTCTCTGCAGCGACCTAGCCCCGTGAGCTAAAGAGAGATCTCTCTACAGCCCAGTAGCTGTGGTCCTGCTATCACAGGGAAGGGCGGTGACGTCACCCGCTCTGGTACGCCGGCTCTTACACACAGTGCTTGTCGGCCGTAAGCGTTACACTCTCCCCCGCTTAAATCGCCGTCCCCGGCGAAGGGCTATCCCACCCCGCTTCTCACACCAATGTAACGCAACAGGGGCTCAGGCGGGCGCCCTTGCCGCATCTGGTCGGCCCCTGCACCGTCCGGGGCTCGAACCCGGGACTTCCGCGTCTCTCTGCAGCGACCTAGCCCCGTGAGCTAAAGAGAGATCTCTCCACAGCCCAGTAGCTGTAGTCCTGCTATCACAGGGAAGGGCGGTGACGTCACCTGCTCTTACACACACTTGTCGGCCGTAAGCGTTACAATATCAACTGAAATTTGTGATTTCATGGTGACCTATAAAATCTAATGGATTGGGACTCTCCAGCAAAAAGAGGTACTGTTGCCCACTTTGTGGATCTCAGGCAATGATAGAGATACAGATAGTGACCTATAGATGTCAGATTAAGTTTTTTACTATATTCATGTAATAAACCCTTAAAACATAGCTAGAATATTCAGTGCTTAATATGTGAGCAGGAGAGCCTTACTTCACTTTAATTTTGTTTAATTTAATTAAAGGTTGTTTCAGTTAGCATGGAAGTTCTAGAATACAGGATACACTAATCTGGTTTAATAACTCAGGAGATGCCACACTTAGTGAGGCTTTCTCTCAGTCTAATCTTGTTGAAAAAAGAATGTATCATTATTTGAGCGTCACACAGAGAAGGGGCCTGAACTGATCAATGTTATATGGATGGGAAAATATAACCTTATTCTTAACATGAACTCCCAATGATGAGGCAAAGTAAAACATGACACAAAGAATTCATTCTACTGAACTTTGCAAAGCCAATGTTGTAAACAATGAGCATAACCTCATTCTTGACACTGTTTCTTAAACAATATTACAATATTTGCATGGAACAACAGGGCAGCATGAAGCTAACCTTAGCTTTATAATAACACATTTATTGCTTATGTGACTGCCACAACCAAAGCTGATATAATTTGTCATTGCTGTACTGGATGTTGCTGACCACATTGCATAGATCACAAGAGAAAATAGTTTGTACAGAATTAGATATTGTGATTTATTTTAGTAGTTCCAACAAAGAGATTTTTTGATAAGTCAACTGATAAGCAGAAGTATTAGGAATAGATTTAGACCAAAACAAAAGTTTTGCGTAAATATTGTGCTTTGCTTTTTCTTCTTGGATACCATTTATTTAACAAGATTGTGTTGCAGGGATGTGGACATACACAGGTAAGAAATAAATGTATTTTTGTAAGATTTTATAACTTCTAAAAAAACATACAGCATAACTCTGTGTAGTTAATTTATAGAGATCAAGTTAATATTGTGAAGGAATAACTAAATATATTTCAGTTTACATTTGGTGTTTCCCAGTTTTACTTCACATGATTTTTTCAAAATTCTGCATGGGGTGATAATTGTTTCCATTCAAATATATCCATTGGACATAAATGTATTTCCAAATATTCTTAATAAACTCAGATAGGAAACTGCTATAAAAAGGCCCTTTATGTGTTATGGTTAACCTACACTGTATCTGACATAAAAGTTAAAATAAAAAATGTCTGTATTTTTTGTTTTTGCTTATCCAATGTATTACATATCGTTTGTGAGGTTTGCTGTGAATCGAGCAAGGATTAAGTCTACGTTTGCTGTTAGAAATACCTTTGATATTAACATTATGAGTCATTTTTAGTTTCAATGACTAGGTAAAGATGGATACATATTCATTATGAATACTTAATCTTATTTTATTATGCGGATGTAGGAGTTCCTATTTAACATACAGTAAGGGTGGGCAAACATCTTTTTTATCCAAAACTTCTTATCAACTGAAAGTTGAAATGAAAGTCACATATAACTAAAACAATTTAATTCACTTCTTTTCTAGAAAGTAATATAATAAACAATAATACTAGTATACAACTGCAATATGTGCTGCCAAGTGTATTAAAGTATTAGTGTACAATTAAATTTTTAAGTTCACAGAAAATTGTAAACCTGTCCCAGAATATAAAAAAATTGACATTTTAAAATACTTCATCTCTTACATTTACTTACGATAGGAACTGTATAATTAATTACTTCTTGAATGGAGCAGTAGCAGAGTCTCAGGCAGTCACTGAAGTTCTGCCACATCTCAAATTCTCCTGATCTATTTTGAACTATTTTATCATCATCGGAATATCATATTGAATTATGAAGCCTCAATGTCTTTTGATGAACCAGTGTTTTAAACTTGTGATGAAAGCAGAAACATATTATGCTGTTTTTATTTCTTCTTGAATTTATTTCCTTCTTTCCTTGTGTATTTTTTTTTTGCTGGATGACACTCACTAACTCGAAAGGGGAAATCATATAAGCTTTGGAAAACATTGTTTATGATGTTTTCAGAAAAAATGTTTTATTATGCCTGTCATTAATTAACTTCACGGGGCTTCTGTTTGACTGAGATATTGGGTCCTCAAGCCTAAATGTTGTCAATGGGTACTAGTTGTTTATTATATATAAAAAGATCCCAATCTGTCATTGACTTATTTTTCATCTCAGTATGTTACCTTAAAATAACATACTTGAAAGCTATCAAGTGTTGTCTGCAATATGGTGTCTGTGCTATGAATGCCATAGCGGTAGTGTATGAGAAATCTCCCATTGTGGCTAAAATCTTTCGTAGAGCCTACAGTCAAACCAAAGCCCAGGTTAAGTGTCCAATTGTTTCCAAAAAGTAATATATCTTGAAAACCCAATAATTTCAAGCTGAACAAAAGAACAGAAGCCCTGCTACCTGCTATTATCATCTTAATATTATTTATTTTCATTAAAGGTTGCCTGTCTTTACATATGCATACTATTTTCTTTTTGCTGCAAGTAAATTACTATACTTAAAATTATTTGATTTTCTTTTGTTCACTTGCTTGAGGATGCTTTCTTTTTATGCAAGTAGTTTATTTAAGACCTGTTTCACCTGATTTCATGTTTTTGTTTTTTCCTTAACTAGTGAAAAGGTCCGTAGATTTTAAATCTAGAGGAGTAAAATTATTCCCAGGCAAAGACAACAGCAACAAGTTTTCTATCTGTGAGTCTACCTTTTGTTACTTTTTATGGTAAATCTGTGATTTTATGTGTTGTGTTGTCTATGTGAAACTATTAATTTAAACCCTACTTCATTTTTGTCATTAGTTTTATTTGCACATTGTAACACGCAAATGTTGTGTTGTCTGCATGAAAAGCTCTTGCCTTAAAGAATGGCCTTTACTTTGTCACCATTTAAGAATTTACAGGATGCTCATACTAATTTAAAAGATCACTAATATGAATGTAACGGTGTTCTGCTTAGCAAATGGATAATTCTCTTTTGATTGTTAAAAAACTATACTGAAATATGTCATTTCCCAGCACCATGCTTTAATAGGATATATACAGAGTCTAGAAGCAGATGTTCAACAAATACATTTTCCATCCTGCGTTATTACCAAGTCATATGCCAGAATTCTAATGATGCTTGTTGGAAATACAATATAATGATAATAAGACAAACAAGTTATAAAAAATAATGATCATTTAAAAAAAATTGAAAGTGTTGGAATTCTTTTAATAATTTATAGGTAATACTACAATATATGCTAATACTGTATATGGTCTTACTGTATATATATATAAAATGAACTAAGTTGTGACCCATTGATACTGGGATTTGACAATAGTATTGGTTTTAAACATTTAATATTGTTCTTTTAATAACTGAAACTAAAGCACACAAAAGTTTCCCCTTTTGTGTTTCCAGACTACAGTTGGTCATATAGATCATATTGTAGTTTCTGAATACAATGCTGAATTATAGTTACATACTGTAATATGATATAACTGTGTTGATGATCTGGATGATACAGTATAAGATCATGTTGGAAGCAACATCACTCCAGATGCAGGAGATTTGATTATTAAGATCAGAGTGAGCTTAAATAAAACTGCACTATTTAACTATCAGAGCAAAAAAAAATATTCCTTGAAGAGTATGGGATTTATGAACTGAGTGGGTGATGATGGCAGAAACATTAGCTATTCTTGTTGTTAACCAACCAACAATCCCAGCTTGCAGCTTCATTAGCATCACAGTCCTTGTCTTGGAGGGCTGATGTGTTTGTGGGTTTTCATTTCAACTGACTTCATAATCAGATAAACCAGGTGGTTACTGACAAACATTCTCCCAGCTCATCGGGTGATGCTGCTTTTTAAAGACCTTGAAAACCTTCAAGCACACATGAGATACTCCTGTATCTGGTAGATGGGACTGAGGACCCTTTTACTTCATCTTGCACATTATAAGACAATACTAAAGAATTTCCAGAGACGTTTGTCACACTGAAACTCATGATGATACTACTTTCCACTAATTCCATATATTGGTGATATGTAACACATTTTTTATTTTATTGGACTTGACTCAGTTATTGCTGAGTGAAAAGATGACCCATTTTCAGTAATGAAAAATAATATCTTGCATTAATTTAGTATTTTTTATTCCAAAGTACCCCAAAGAGTTGTACTCATAATACACCAATTTCACCTGCCACTGAAGGGCAGCTTCCACCTAGCAGTTGTTATACAAAAACAGCCCCACTACAGATCAAAACAGAGATGTGAGCAACTGCTTCAACAGTTGAAAAAAGGATGAAACGTTTGGTAAGCAAGATTGTAAAAATAGCATTTAGTCAGGACAGTGGGGTTAACAATTCAGCCCTTTTTAATAAGTGCCATGAGATTTTTAATCAACACTTAGGACCTGAGTTTAATGTTTTTTCCAAAGGATAGCACCCCCTACTGCACAGTGTCCCTGGTCACCATACTGGGACATTGGTTTGGAAATTATGGACCAGTAGAAGGAGTGTCCTAACCTTAATCCTATTTAAAGTACTTAAAGTAAAGTAAATGTATGAACCTCCTTCCTTATTAAATTCTGATTACAATCTAAAAATTATACTCTGTTCTGTAACAAGTGATATGATTATCCATCACCTTTTAATGTTATTCATTTTGTGAATGAATGTGTCTTACAAAATAATAACATTCAGGAAGTAATTTCCTGATGAACTTGATATTTTTACAAATCTCTGCACTTATAAAATCATGTCATTAATAGAGTACTATAATCATTTTTTAGCCATTAATCACATTTTCAAAAATAACTTGTAATAAGGATTTTTTTCATTTAATACTTTGTTTCATTTTACATTTTACAATTTAAACAATGTACCCTTAAAATGATCAATTATCAATAATTAAGTTAAAATCAGAGGAGATATATATACTGTATATGTATGAACATACCACCCTAAAAAGTAAAATCACTAGTGTAGGTTATGTGAAACATGATTTCAATGATTTCAGGAGACATCTTATGTCAGGAGACAAATTATTTATGTACATTATGCAACAGAGTACATTATCATAGCTTTAAAGATGAACGTAATGAAACAAGTTGATGTTATTGCCATAGCAACACTAGAAAATATACAGTACATTAGTTCACAACATCAGTTTTACCGACAATTTTATGACTATGAAGTTTTAATTTTACACATGCATTATTGTCAAGGGTATGAGTTCTACAAGTATACTGTAGATACGGTATGTGCTGAACAATAATTACACCAAAATGAAATGTATTGCATCCCCTTGGAATTTGAATATTTGTACAAGAATCGGGAAGAACCACTGTCTTGGGAACAATTCAAAAGAAATAGTGAAGTTTAAATGAGTAAGTGTGTGTAATTAACTTCTGTTATAGGAAATATATACTGTACATACAGTGTGTGCATTAAAAAGAGAACAATGCATATGGCAAGTTGGTTGGACTCCAGATCTAATAAATAGACAAAAAGCATTAGATTGTGCATTTGTGACAGATATCTGACTGTTTAGTATTAAAGTAGATTAGATTGCTCTAATTCTAATTTGTAAAATATCAATATATGCCCGTCATCAACTAAATTCATGTTTGTAATATATTTTTTCAGTTCATCATTTTTTTTAAGTTTGATAAATACGTCCATGTATAATTTAAAAAAATAATTAATTACAATTTAATTAAAAAGAGTAATGCATTAAGTTTAGAATATAATTTAACAATTTTATGCAGTCTGCAAGGAGCATTTTAGTCCAATAAAAACATGTTTATTTATTAAAAAATCCCCTAGCCTTGTACTAGTCATTTACAATTGGCTGTTGGTATATTTGCATGCCTTTTGCATGTTTGTTTGTTTGCTGTAATATTCCAAAATACAGTATTTGCATTTTAATTATTGCATGTAATTCACATAAGGGGCAGGACAGGGAGATAACATGAAAAAATCAATTAATAGTGGGAACATTGATGCTCAAGAACCTCCTTTTGAAGTATTCAAATGCCGTCGAACTGAATCAATAGAAATACAAACCATTAAATAAATTTCACATCAGATGATGTCAATTTGAATTAAAAAATGTAATAACCTGCTTTTCAGGCAGCTGATAATTTCAATCTAAACAGTACTAAAATCTGTAAATAAATTGAAAAAGTCATTTTCTAACAAACGTGTTCAGCATATTTCTTTACGTTTTGTTTCCTTCCTGTAAAAAATAATTTAATGGGAAATTCTTAAAATGTCTTTGACCCCTTTTGGGGTCTAGCATTCAATTTAAGATTTCCATTAATAAAGACAGTGCTTAATATATACTGTACATGCATAACTAAGACTAAATATTTATGGTAGAAAAGTTATATGGGTGTTTTCTCATTTTAACTCAAATTGCACAAATCCAAATTTCCTATGCCAAGTTTAGGTGAAAAAATTAAATGAAAAGGTTAGTTCTGGACTTTTTTATATTTCATACACTACATTTATAAAGTGGGGTGTAAACCAAGCTGCCATGGGAAACCTAAAACAGATTATCTAAGTAGCAACATTCCCAAAGTGTCCTAGTTTTGAGGATAGATCAATGTCTGCACTGAACACTTTGTCATCTGGAAGAGGGTTTGTATAGATTACCCAGTTCTCCTTCCTGCTATAATTCAACATTGTAAGATGTATGTTGCTCAAGTATACTCACTGAAATCTTCTTTTTCATCGGCCTGGCGGGGGCTTTCTTTTACTGTACTATATCATCCACTACGAATTGCTGTAATCTGTCAGAAGAAGAAAGGAGGAGTAATTTTTCAACAGCCAACTAGTCTATATTTTGTAAAACCAACATTTTGTTTTCTTCTTCACTTCACATTCAAAGATGTGTGTCATTAAGAATTCAATTTAAAATCATAAAGCACAAATCCTGATTCTCTCAAATATTTTCTCCTCTCCAACTGTTGCATTTGTGAATGAAAGTAATATTGTCAACATAAAGTGGGTGTATTTGTCAAGTATGTAATTTTATATACTTTCAAAACATTTTAAAAATAAAATTGATTTTCAGATTTTGAGAAAATGGGCATGAGGAAATAATATTTTATATGGTTCAGCCTTGAAACCAGTTTCATTTCAGACCTGCAATTGGATTGTTACATTCAGGGCTTTTAGAGCTAATTATTAGTATAATACAGTTTTTCTATAAGACTGTTTTTTTATTGCTAGCTAGTCAGTTTCCATTTCTGGCACAGGTTTCATTTTTTTTTAAAGTGAGCATTAATGAATGTGAAGAGCAATACTCCTGCCAGTGGCTGAAAAGTAAATTTATCTTTCTAAAATTCATTAAAAATTGAGGCATTACCTACTAAGTGGTACTAAGCAGTATAAAAAGTAAATGCAATTGTTTACTTTCTTTGAGCAATTAAAATATTATATTGTAGCTTAAAGCTAAAGCCAAATTCAAAATAAACTAGTGTGTGGCCCAGCACAATCCAATGGTTTTATCATGTTTGAAAACTGAAGCCAATGACAGCTGGCATCCATAACCTCATACAACCACTTGGTAAAATTCCCCTGTGGTTTTCAGCCACTTTATCCTCTCTGTCAATTTGTCATCTCTCAGATGAAGTAGTCTAAAAAATGTACTCAATAAACCTTTTTATAGATTGTTTGCTTCATCTGGGTTTTTTGGAAT